AGAGAGAGAGAGAGAGAGAGAGAGAGAGAGAGAGAGAGAGGCGGAGGAGGAAGAGGGAGAGAAGGCAAGGCCTTCCTCCCTGGTACCTGGTTGGGTAGCTAGGGCGCTGCAGCAGGCGGGCGCTGGGCCGCGGGCTGGGCCGGTGGCTGGCGCTGCTCCAACTGCTGCGCTAAGTCCTCTTCGCCGCTGTGCTCGATCTCTCCTTGCTGCTCGTACTAACGCTGCTGCGCTGCGCTAATCCTGCTAACGCTGAAGTGCTGCTGCAATCAGACTCGTTTTCATTCACACTTTTCATGCATGTAAACAGTAGCGCAGCAAACTGGCGACATGCGCCCATTCAAAACTCAGAGATATGGCATCCAGATACGAGTTCACTATCAATTGGCTATGGCGACTCAGCGCCCAAACAACTCACTGTTCACATACACCGGATCACCCTGGATATCCCACACGCGACTCTCTGAACTCACACACACACACACACTCGCTACACACTAACTCTAGCTATGGCGGCTATGGCCGCAGCTACCCTATCGCTATGCTACGCTCCTTCTCTCTCGCCCACTTCAGCTCCAGGCTCACTGCAGACCTCCTTGCACAAGTCGCTGTGGCAGCGCTTCCGCATGGCTCACGCAGGAATGAATGAAAGGCTGGGCGCTGCCTCTTGATTTATACTTCTGAAACTCGTTGGTCTGCCCTCTTCCATCGGCCCATGGTGCTCACAGTCCCTTGTGGTACTTGCTGGACTGGACTGGGACTGACTGGACCTTACCGCTGACTGAGTGGGGACTCACTGGTAACCTACCACCGTCGTTCTGCAATTGCACTGCAGTTTAGTCCACCACTTGACTCACCACTTGCCCACTTGCCCACTTGCTGACCTTCTAGAAGGACTACAGCTAAGGCTTCTGGAACTCTCTAAGACTTCTATTCTACAGATCTACAGATCGAACCCCTCCTACCTACGGACCTATGACAGCCTACCAACTGTTTACGAATACACAGTTCACAGGTTCAACTCTCGGGGTCGACTCAGGTACTGTACACAGGTTGTTGCATACCGTATAGGTGCAGACCAGAACAAGAACCGACCTTTCAATACAAGGTATAAGATAGCACAGCGGAAGACTTAGATACCAATGATCCGAACAATCAATATTGTAATGCAGCCCCGAACATACATCATCATCATCATGGTGCGAAGGGGTCTGGYGCTTCACACAAGAAGACTGCGCCAGCCCCAACCATACACAGACGAAGGAGGTGGGGTTAGACGAAGAAGAAGGGAAGATGCGAATGTCGTCAACACCAAGTGTTCAGCACAGGCCCAAATAGTCCCTCGTCAAAATGTCTGAATCCCAATGTCGAGTCTGGATCCAATGTCGTCAAGTCTCATGTCACAACTCTCTCTCTGTAGWAGTCCGCTGATACTGAGAAGCAGGTGGTGAGAGGGGAAGAAGAGATGGTGGAATGAGAAGAAGAGGAAGAAGAACTCTCTCTCTCTCTCTCTCTCTCTCTAGTACTAACCTGTGAAGTTGGCGCCTTGATGCAGGTACCTCGAAGATGGAGCTGGAGCGATGGCGCCACAGGTACGTACCACTGGCCTCCRCCAGTGTCTCTCCCCACTCTACTACCTACCACCTACAGCGCCCAGCGCTGAAGACTACTGCTATGGCTATGGCGCCCAGCGCCGAAGACTACAGCTCGCGCTACTACTACTGCCTAGCGCTGAAGACTACTGCAGCACTCCTCCTGAGTGCTGCGGCCGAAATCTGAAGACTACCGTCCTACTCTCCAACTGCCTACCCGTTCAGTGCCTGAAGCTCCTATGTACTATCACGGGTGCCTCCTGACTCGGGSGAGCAGTCCAGGAGGCTGCTCTTGCCAATAATGCCGAAGGGAGGCAGGGGCTGCAGCTGCAGCTCCTGCTCGTGCTCTTGCCAATAATGCCGAAGGGAGGCAGGGGCTGCAGCTGCAGCTCCTGCTCGTGCTAATGCCAATAATGCCGCAGGGAGGCAGGGGCTGCAGCTGCAGCTGCAGCTCCTGCTCGAGCTGGCGTGGGAACAGGCCAGAAATAGTCTGTTCCGAAACCCAGTTTTCGTGCCTGAATCTTAGGGCAGGTCGAAACAAATGAGGGCCTAAAAATAGCCCAGGGCCTAAGAATAGCCCTCCGTTTCAGGCTGGAAAAACTCTGGGTCTGAAAGACCCAGAAATAGGCTGAAACGGAGTAGGGCCTGCAGGCCCTCGTTTTTCAGTTTTCAGGCTGAAACGACCGGGGCCTGTAGCTCTTAAGTTTTAGGCTTTAAGGCTGAATGTCCGGGACGGGTCCTACAGGGCCCGTGTGGCTACGCAGTCTGCCACACAGGTAGGGCAAGGTATAGGGATCGAGCCCTGGGGTCTGCATCTGCTACTGCAAAAAGGTGAAAACCGTTTCACTGCGCTAATCCTGAAGACTAACCTCCTGTCTACTAACCTACCGACTGAGGCTGGTACCCAGCTGATATAGTGCTGGATCGGCCTCAGTCCTACTGAGGGCCTTCGGGTCTGGACCGTTGATCAGGCCCAACGGTTCAGATCCGATTTCGAAATCTGAAAAGCGGGCGCCAAAACTGCGCCACCGGCTGGGCCTACCGATGGACCGATACCTGGTCTAAACAACTAGCCCTTGGGTCTGGTGGGGTCTAAACGAGGCCTACCGGACCCTAAACTGAACCAACGGTTCCTAGGCCTACCTGGACCTAGCTGGGACCGTCGTGACCTGGTACCTAGGCCTAAACTGTGCCGATCACAGAACCGGGCCCTAACTGGGGCTCGCGTGGTATCAGTATGCCACACCATGTCAAGCAGCCATCTGGGGTCTCTCCTGGTTGGATGGAGGAGGAAGTGTGCAGCATGGGCTGGCTGCCTCATCATCTTACAACGCTCGTCAATGAGACCGAAAAGCGCTTGCAATTGTTCCCTTGTCAAGCCGTGGATGTTTTCCAAGCAGGCGCAAAGCATGTCACCGAATTCCCACAGTTGCGAAGGTGTTGTTCCATCCATGTCCATCCTGCGGAGCATCTCGTTCACAGGCCACATCACTTTCACCACCCTGTCAACATCGTTCCACCAATCATTGGATCTGACCCAATGGAAGATTTTGTCTCCCCTCTTCCGCAACTTCTTGCTGCTCTAGTGGATGTCCTTCCACCCGCTCGTCATCATGTCCTCAAGTACCCACCTCCTGTCACTCAGTCTCTCGATCATCTTGTACACCGATGCAAACCGCACCTCTGTAGGCAGAATCAGGGTCTTCCTTTCATCCATTGATGATCTGCAGTACATGGAGACTGTCTCTTGGTGTCTTCGCCTGCCTCTTTATCAGTGCCACCCAATCAAGTTTGGTGATGTCCGTGAGGAGGAGGCTCAACGTGTGTGCTGCACATGGCAGCCATGGAATCTTCACGATCTCCGGGTCAGTCCGGCGTTTCAAAATCTACGCGGCTCTTTTGTTGACACTAGCATTGTCAGTGCAGATGGCGTTCACCCTCTGCACTCTGATCTCTTATGACCTCCTCCCATAGTTTGGCAAGAGCCATGGCGTTCTTTTTCCGATTGGACGTGTCGACCACCTTCATAAGTACTGCCCCCCCCTCTCCTCCACCAATGAAGTTCAGGACCGGCCTGAACTTAATATCCGTGCATCCATCAGTGATGAGTGTGCAGCCTGACATATCCCACTTATCCATGACTGGCCGCACAGTCTGCTTCACCTCATCGCAAATGGCGTCAAGCACAATGGTCCGGATAGTGTCGAACGAAGTCATCCGTGTTTTTACCTTTTGTGGCCCCAACTCCATGTACAAGTCATGGAGTGCTTTGGTCTCCTCTTGCCGCACAAAGTTCAAGGGCACCCCAGCCCGAAACAAAGCCTTCCTCTTTTGCGCAGTGTTCTCTGCCCACTTGCGGATAGAGGTCTGTGTTGTCTTTCCCGTCCTCGCAGTGGTGGTGGAGGAGGAGGCCTGGCAAGAAGGGTAAGCAGCCACTACAGCCTCCGATTGCTCCGCGTCAAGTCCCTGAGAAGCACGGCCTCCAGGATCAGGCACTGCAGCACTGTGACCTTGCGTTGTTGTCGGGGCCTCTCTCCCCGGCACCGGCACTGGCGGTGGCCGGAGCTGTGCCTCCATTTCCTGCAACATTGCTCCATCTCGCTCCCCATCAGGCTCCATCCCCTTATCGCCAGGTATCCCACTCTCCACCCTGTACCTGTGGAGCATCCTCTTGGCTGCATCTCCTTCGATCTTTGCACCGTCCAATGCAAGCAAGTGCAGTCCTTGCAGTGCATGGTTTCCCTTTCTTGAAGAACTGTTCGACTGCCCTGGTGGTGGACGCTGTGAATACCAACTTGCACAACCTGCAGCGAACCCAATATTGGCCATAACCCTTCAGCTCCGCCATTTGTCCCCGCTCGATCCATCTGTACACCGTCTTCTCGCGTTGTAATTGTCTTTGCTGTGTCTCCGACTGCGGCTCGAAATCTGGAGTGTCCTTTCCCTTGCCCTTGCCCTTCCTGACGCGGTGGACGCACGGCTCGAAGATGCCATGATTTGAATGCGGATAGAAGAAGAAAGGAAACGAAGAAGGAGAGGAAAGAGAAGTAGTAGAGGTACAAGAAGGGGAAAGCGGAAACGAAAAAAAAAAAACATCGACGTTGAAGGAACCAGAATCGGGATCAGATTTGAGGTGTGCGGAACTGGAACCGAGACAACAGCAGACTTTCCAGATCGGGAGCAGGACACGAACAAAAACACGAACTGCAGTGAAGAACAAACAAGCAGACAAACAACAGTATCGGAAACTCGACAGCCGCCCAGAACCAGATCTGGAAGTACATCTGTAACCAGATCCGGTTCTTGTTCCGATCAGCTTCCCGATCACACACACACACACACACACACACACACTTACTTGCCTATCTATATCCTTTTTGCTTTGGGGATTTGTGCTGATTTGTGGTTGGAATGAGAGAGAAAAACTGGGGATCTCTGAAAAACACACACACACACCGGCACACCCACACCCACACACAAACACACGCATACACACACAACCCAAACCAGGTCTGCAACCCGAACCAGATCTGCGACCAAAAGCAGATCTGGAACGGGAACCAGATCTGTAACCGGAAACAGGTCTGCAACAGGTACCAAGTCTGCCTCCTCCTCCTCCTCCTTACTCCGTCATCGACACAGCAGTTTCTAGCCCTCCATATCCTCCTCTGATGATTACTACTCCTCTTCCTCCTCCTTTTCCTGGTCATCCTCCACCATACGAGGCATTACAATGAAGGGATGATTGTGTGAAAAATCGACACAACAGTTTCTCCTGAAAGATTCTCCTGCTCCTAATCCCACCCTCTCTTTTCCTACGTGCCTCCTCCATCTCCGCCCCACCTCCTGCTGTTCTACCTCGTCGATCACGACATGTAATGGGCCATGCCCCTACCTACCTACCTCCCCCTCCCTCAGTTCCTAGTTCATCAAAGTGGAAAGGAATCGAGACATGGTTGTAGCCAAATGAACAAGACTGGTGCGGATGCGCCCCGGCTTCCCATCCACGACCCCATCCTCATACCCTTCCTCTTCTGCCGACGAGGCTGAAGAGGAGGAGCCTAGGAGGAGGAAGAAGAGCAAATTGTGTAGGAGGAGGGGGAGGAGGAGAAGTGGAAAAGCACGGCCAATGCTGCACCCGGTATTTGTACGGAAATACGGGGCAGGTTCAGATGGGGGAGGTGAAGACGGGGGAGGTAAAGCCGGGGGAGGTAAAAATGGGGGAGGCGAAGATGGCGGGAGGTCAAGGCGGGCGATGTAAAAATGGAAGAGGTAAAGATGAGGAAGGTCAAGACGGGGGAGGTAAAGATGGGGGAGGTAAAGATGGTGGATGTAAAGAAGGGGGAGGTAAAGATGGCGGTAAAAAACGGGGGAGGATAGAGATTGGGGAGGTTAAGATGGGGGAGGTGCGCGCCGTGATGACATGGGGGCAATCTACCCATCTGATGATTATCAGCAGCTGTAACATACTCACACAGGCATAACCCAACTGCGCCCTGTCCGACGTGGCTGGTCTGCGCACGCACCTTCCTGAACATCTCACCCCCATCATAAATCATTCTCTTCACCGCGTCGAAATCCCTTGGTGGTCTACACGGATCCTGTTCATGCGTTCTCCCTTCATACTTCCCATCTCCTAATCTTTGGTGATATCTGGATTGTCGGAAATGTCAGATATTCCAATTTCGTTTCGGGAAAGAACGCTGTGGCAGTCTCCTAATCTTTCTACGTCCCGTATTCAAAACTCCGCAAAACTTTTCGTCCCGTATTCCCAGTGGGCAGATCCGATACTCCCCCACCTGATACTCCCCCCGATCTCCCAACCATATCCAGCAAATACCGGTGTGATTATCTTCGGGAAAGAACGCGGTCCCCCCCAAAATCCGAAAAGGAGATCTGCCATACCACTGCAGATCCGAAAAGGCGATATGCCATACCGCTGCAGGTAAGCACGAAAGGCAGAACGTACCTTCCATGCTTACCTAATCAAACCTTGCATACGCAGATCTGCAAACACAACCGAAAACGGACATGGAGTTCAAAAAATGTCTGAAACAAAAAAGAGACCCCTTCATTGACAACAGCAAGTTGTGCAGGGTCAGTCTGGTAGCTTCAATCCTCAGTTGTACATCACCATTATCACCAGCCACGTGGAGAGACGTGCCAAAATCTCGATATGCCACGCGGAGAGACATGCCAAAATCGAAGGAGATGACATGCCAGTGGAGAAACATGACAAAATTTGTCCTCGCAGTGCACGATCTCGATATGCCACGTGGAGAGACATGCCAAAATCAATCGAAGCGAACCAATCATCATATGCTACGTGGAGGAAGACGTCAAAATCCATCGAAGCAAACATCCTCCTCCACGTGCAGAGACATGCCAAAATCCATCAAAGTGATCATCCAATGCCTCGTGGAGAAACACGGGCAAAGCTACGACAATGATATCCTGTGCCACGTGGAGAAACATGACAAAATCTACGAAAGTGATCAACCCATGCCACATGGAGAAACACGACAAAATCTTCTTAGCCTAATCCATCAAAGTAATCATCCTATGCAACGTGGATAATATGTCAGAAGCAAACCAGCACCTAGGGAATGAGGGCACGAGAGAGAGAGGAAGAGCAAGGAGGTCAGGGTGGACAGCTGCGTGCAAAAGACGCCGAGGAGAAGAGAAGAAGAGACGACGGGAGAAAAGAAAAGGAGAGACGAAAGGGAGTTGTACGTCGATGGAGCAGATGGACACATGCAGATGTGTGTGCATGCATGCATGCAGACAAATACCAACCACGTGTTCGCATGCATGCATGCAGACGTCTCTCTCTCTCTCTCTCTCTCTCTCTCTCTCTCTCTCTCTCTCTCTCTCTCTCTCTCTCTCTCTCTAGTCCGGTGTTTGTCACATTTTCAATCTCGTGCACCTCCCTCCGCGCCGAGCTCCTCTTCCTGCTTTCCGATCTCTTCTTTCCCGCCTTGTCTCCATCCCCATCCACGACCTCCATTCCTCACCCTCCTCCTCCTCCTCCTTTCTCTCCCACATCATCCTGATCCCTTCTCCCCTACCTCCCCAGAACATCCCATTCTAAACAAATTGGGCCCCCGACCTACAAATTCCTCCTCCTCTCTCTTCCCCTTAACCTTATCCTCACTCTTTCGCCGCATCCCCATCCTGACCGTCCAAACCCTGACCCTCTCATCCTCCTGATCCCGCATCATGACACCACCACTTGATCCGCCCAAGATTTTGGTTGTGACGTCCTCCTCTCCCTGCTTTCCCAGCTCCTTCCTCCATCTTCTTCTTTTTCGTCGTCGTGCTCTTTCTCCTCTTCTATTTTTCTATTGTTTCCTCCTCCTCCTCTTCATCCTTCTGGTCCTCCTCCTCCTCCTCCCCCTCCTCCTCTTCCACGTTTTCGGTAGATTGTTTGCTTTGTTGACTGGAACATTCAGCTTACGATCGGTACAACCGCGGGGACGTACACAGCACGTGCAGTGCAGAGTTGGTAGATCGGTTTCCTTTGCCTGTTCTCTCTCTCTCTCTCTCTCTCTCTCTCTCTCTCTCTCTCTCTCTCTCTCTCTCTCTCTCTCTCTCTCTCTCTCTCTCAGGAAAGCCACAGTACCAAGGCAATCCTCCTCCTCTTTCTGTACTAGTGACAAAACATCAGCGTTCAGGAGGATGGAAAGGAGGAGGAGGAGGAGGAGGATGACAAGGAGAAGGAGAAGGGGGCAGAGGAGGAGGAAGAGGAGGAGGAGCAGAAGGATGAAGAGGAAGAGGAGGAGGAGCAAAAGAATGAATAGGAACAGAGAGGAGGAACAGAAGACGAAGAAGAGAACATATGAGACCACGAAGAAAAAGAAAACGAAGGAAGTAGGAGGTGGGGCAGGGGAGGGGGGGGGGCGGTGCGGTGGGAATGGAAGAGGATGGCAGACTCACCTGGTGTCGGCGAAGGCGGCAGGCATGCGAGAGGACGAGGGCGGCATGCAGTATGTGACGCCACGATAGCAGATTACGCCGGAAAACCAGGAAAGAAGTGTAGCATGCATTTTCCTTTTGTTCCGCTCCAGGTCGGTTTTTTTTTTTTTTTTTTTTTTAAAGAACCAAATCATTAACATTCCAAAAGAGATTTGAAAGAGGCCGGGGACCTCACAATTCATCCCGGAGTTATCCCGGCAGCATCAGCCGGTTTAGCTTATCTTAACCAAATCAGCTTTTTGCTTTTAAAAGAATAACCTTCAAGGTCCAAGTCCTAAACCTACTATTCCTATCCTACCTCCCTGTTCCTATTCTAATAATAATACTCGGACCTATTGCCGGTCCGGATCCCGGCCTCTCCGGTCGGTTGGAACCTTCCGTTCCTCAGTATCATGCCACTCTACCTCCCTGAGTAGCCTACCGTGGCTTGAACCACAACCGAGTGGACCTGGTTGTTAAAACAAAAATGCCGTCACAGACCAAGAAAAAACCACAACAAGCCAGAAAATGCATCACTGTTGTATCTCTACCTCCTCTCCTCCCTACTAGTACTAACTCTAATATTGCTGCTGGTTCCTACTCTGTTTCCTGCCCAGGAAGCCCTGTCTGTCTGCTCAAACCATGGTGCAAGTTTCAACTTTCCATCTTCTGAGACTGAAGCAATTTGTTGTCTGTGAGCCCACGTTCTTTTAAACCACTTT